ATTCCTCAGAATTACAGTAAAAGATATCATGAAAGAAGGAGGCACAATTAACATTAAAAATTGGCTATCACAGACATACGATCCTCTTTACATTTTAAATTTTTTCTTGCAATGATGATACCTCCAAAATATTGAAATTTGGTTGAAATTTACGGGGGCCTATTTTCAATGTAAATTGTGCCTCCTTCTTTCTCAGAATTCCACTAAAATTTTATGTAATTCGACAGAAATCACTCAGAATTTTGATAAAATTTAATTCAATTCTTCGGAATTCTGTCGAAATTTCTCGTGGTTTCATTTAAATTCCACGGAAATTCTGTATAATTTCAGGGGAATTCTTCGGATTTCATGTAATTTCACTGAAATTCCATAAAAAGATTTCAAGGAATTCCATGTATGTAATTCGAAGGGAATTCCTTGGAATTTTACTCAAGATTTCATCAAAATTTTATGTAAGTCAACAAAAAATGAAATTATATGCATATAATTTGATGGAAATTCTGCAAATATTTCATAATTTTTTTTTTTTTTCAAAATTCCACTGAAATTCTCCAAAATTCTATAGAAATTCCAAATTCTATATTTTTTTTAAAACTGAAACTTCCCAAAACTTCACCACTGCTATATCCTGAAATTCCACAAAATTTTCATAAAATTTTTCGGAATTTCACTGACACTTCCTATAATTTCTTAGAAATTCCTCGGAATTTCACTAAAATTTTATGACAATTTTTTGAAATTTCACTGAATTACGTTATTAGTCGAATATTTCTCGAAATTCCAATGAAATTTTTTTTTCAAAATTTCATTTATCTCCATAAGAATTTTTCGGAATTTCACCGAAATTCTCTTTCAATAGTCAGGAATTTCTCAAGTCATTTCTTGAAAATTGACCGAAATTCCTCCCAAATATATTGAAATTTCATATCATTACATGGTAATTTTTCCATTCACCGAAATTGTAACTCTTAAGCCAGAAATTCCATTTGTGAAATTTTCTCTAATTTTACTAAAATTCCGAGTAAAATTCGATAGGAATTTTTCAGAATATCAATTTCACTAAAATGCCATGTTTTTAACTGGGAATAAAAATAAAACTTCATTAGGATTTTTTGGAATTTCACTGAAATTCCTTATGAAACGACGAGAGTTGTTCAAAATTCCACTTAAATTTCATGTAATTCCCTGACAATTCCTTGGAATTTCATGCAATTGCATTAAAGCTCCATATATAATTCGACGTAATTCAAATTCGATGTAATTTTTTGAAACTTTTTATAAACTCTTTATGTAATTTAACAAGCACTGAAATTTCATGTTGGGAATTTCGGTGTAATTCCATGTAATTTTTAAGAATTCCTCCATGCAACTCATTCAGGATTTCATGAAATTCGATAGAAATTCCACTAAAATTTCATGTAATTTCTCGAAATTTCATGTAATTCAAGAAGAACTAAAATTAAATGGGAATTCTATGGAAACTTCGCAAAAATTTCACATGTCACATTTCACACCATAAAATTCAATGGAATTCTTGGAATTTTTTTTTCTTCGGAATTACAATATAAGATTTCATGAAATTCTTTGGAATTGCAGTAAATTTTCAAGTTATTCCATGGGAATTCCGCGGAAATTTTAGTCAATTCCATAGAAATCCCTTAGAATTTCACAAGAAGATTTTATGGAATTCTTTGAAATTCCATTCAAGTGATAAATTTGAATGGAAAAACGTAAATTCCTAGAAATTTAACTATAAGATTTCAGAATACTTTTCCAAATTTCATCATAAGATTCTATGGAATTCCACCATAAAATTTAATGGAATTCTTGCACAAAAATTCCTCGGAATTACATCGGGAAGTACACTATGAGATTTCATGAAATTCTTTAGAATTCCATTAAAATTTCAAGTTATTCTATGGAAATTCCGTGAAAATTTTAATTAATTCCATAGAGATTTCTTTCTTAGAATTTCATCAGAGGATTTTATGGAATTTCTTAAAATTCCATTCAATCGTAAATTTGAATGGGAAAACGGAAATTCCTAAAAATTTTACTATACGATTTTATAATATTTTTCCAAATTTCATCATAGGATTTCATGGAATTCCACAATAAAATTCAATGGAATTCTTGAACAAAAATTCCTCGGAATTACACTATGAAATTCTTTGGAATTCCACTAAAATTTCAAGTTATTCCATATTCCGCGAAAATTTTTAGTAATTCCTTAACATTTCATCAGAAGATATAATGGAATTCTTAGACAAATTTTTTTCGGAATCACAGTATACGATTTAATGAAATTCCTCAGATTTCCACTAAAATTTCAATTCAATTCCATAATTTAACATAAAATAACTTTACTGAAATTTCCCAAAATTTCACCACTGAAATATCCTGGAATTCCACAAAATTTTCATAAAATTTTTCGGAATTTCATTGACATTTCATGTAATTTCTTAAAAATTCCTCGAAATTCACTAAAATTTTATGAGAATATTTTGAAATTCTACGTTCACCGCCGAAGATTTCTCGGAAGTCCAATGAAACTTCAAGGAATTTTTCGAAATTTCATTTATTTTCATAAGAAATTTCACCGAAATTTTCTTTTAATAGCCAGGAATTTCTGGGAATATTAATGAAACTTCAAGTAATTTCTTGAAAATTCACTGAAGTATATTGAAATTTCATGTCATTACATGGGAATTTTTGGGAATATCGCCGAAATTCAATTTTTTTAGCCGGAAATTCCTCGGCATTGCACTTGTGGAATTTTCTGGAATTTCATGTTGGGAATTTCGGTGTAAGTTCATATAATTGTTTATACAGGGTGTTCCAGGGAAAACAGTCCACCCCGATTTATTGCATTTGGGATGAGAATCTGGAAAAACGCTCGGACACGTCGATTTTTGATTTGAGGGGGAACTATTTTTCAGTTTTTCTCATTCCCGTAGCTTCAACCCCCTAGCTAGGGGGAGAACAACCCCCCAAATTTTAATAGGGGATACGGGTCATGTCATATCATATCTCTTTTTAAAGGTCTCATTGAGTTCTTTATGTCCCTAGAATTTCGTCTCATTATTTTCATCCGTAACGAAATGACAGCTTGTCAAAATCTTGGAAATAGACTATTAGTTTAGGTGGAAGCAAAAGCGATACTTACCTCTCCTAATGAAAATACTTGAAATGAAGTTTTTTCTTATTATTATTAATGAGGTGTACACGAGAATTGTAAATTGTAGGTATTTTTAATCATATTTTTATTAAGGGAGGTAAGTACCACTTTTACTCCTACTAAAACATAGTCCATTTCCAAGATTTTGACAAGCTGTCATTTCGTTACGGATGAAAATAATAAAATGAAATTCCAGGGCCATAAAGAACTCGATGAGACCTTTAAAAAGAGGTATGACACGACCCCTATTCCCTATTCAAATTTAGGGGGTTGTTCTCCCCCTAGCTAAGGGGTTGAAGCTACGGGGATGAAAAAAACTGAAAAATAGTTCCCCCTAAAATCAAACATCGACGTGTCCGAGCGTTTTCCCGGATTCTCATCCCAAACCCAATAAATCGGGGTGGACTGTTTTCCCTGGGACACACTGTACCTATATATAATTCCTCCATGCGATTCATGTAGGATTCCGTGTAATTCGATCGAAATTTCACTGAAAGTTCATGTTATTTGAGAGGAACTAAAATTTAATATGAACTCTATGGAAACTCCGCAAAAATTTCACATGTAATTCCTGTTTCAAAATAACATAATTCTACAGAAATTCCTCGAAATTCCACTAAATTCTGAGATTCTTAACATATTTTTGGAAATTCCAAAGAATATTTGTGAATTTCAAGGAAAATATATTTTAGAAATGTTAATGATTTTATGAGATTTTCTGGGATTTTGACCAACTTGTACACAGACCAGTTAACCACCCCTCGACTGAACTCTAGTAGATAAATATGATGTAAACCAATTCAAAACAATACCCCCTATTCCTATATTCTTAAATTTATGCAACAATATTTCTCTATTTACAGTTTCAAAAGCTTGCTTAAAATCTAGGAAAACGGCCAACACAACACTATCACAATCAATGGCCTTTAAAAAATCGTCACTTATACTTACAACAACAGATTCACACGAGTGTTTTGCACAAAAACCTGACTGATTACTAATAAATAAACTAATTCGAATTTTTTTTTAAGAACTTCAAATTTCTTTAAAAAAAAAATTATGAAAAGCTTCAAAAATAACTAAAAATTCTTCAAAAACACAAGAAATTCTTTGGAATTTTTTGACAAGCTTCAAAATTAACTCAGAATTCTTTAAAAAAACCTCAAATTCCTTAAAAAAAATAATGGAAAGCTTCAAAAATAACTCTTCTTATGCCTATATTACATCTGGCACCCGAAATTACATGAATAAATACACGGAAAAATACACAGATGTAATACGGGCATTAGAAAAATATCAAATTAAAAAAAACTTCAATAGTCACTTAAAATTTAAAAAAAAAAGCTCCAAATTCCACACAAAGTTTCAACTTTGGAGCCTAAATATCTTGAAAACTGTTTTGAACATAAGTTTCACTCCTATTCTATCCTCTAGAGCATTCAATTCTGATTCTAAATCATTAAATAGGCATCAAAATCTGTGAAATATTGATTGAGTTATAAGTGATAATGAAAATTTTCCAAGACAGACATCTTTGAGGCCTCATATCTCAAAAACTATAAGAGATATCGAGTTGATTCAGGTTTTATTTTGAAGAGCAAATATTTTTTATTTGAAATTATACATTCTATGTATGTATCTGCATCAAAAAATATCATAATTTGTCATATTTCCAGTAAATGAAAGTGCTTGAAAATGCATATTTTGCAAGCCTCATTTATAAATGACTCATTTTTTTAGCAAGTTAAGTTACATATTATTAGTCAAACAACTATTTTTGCTGATTATTACAGTTTGATAATGGAATATTTTATTCTTTCAGTCTTTACAATCACATCAAGCCCTCTAGCGAATTGAAACAAGGTACTGACTACTCCCTATTCAAAAAGGGCATCAGACCGATGTGGGAAGATGACCAAAACAAACGCGGCGGCAGATGGCTATTCAGTTTGGAAAAGAAACAGCGCTCTAACGATTTGGATCGCTATTGGCTCGATATTGTGAGTTTGAGCATCTATTTTCTCTATAAAATGGCTTATGGAAAACCAAGTTAAATATAATAATATCATTTTAGATTCTGTGCCTGATTGGTGAAGCTTTTGAAAACTCTGACGATATCTGCGGTGCAGTGGTCAACATCAGATACAAAGGCGATAAAATCGGCGTTTGGACTCAGGACGCCAACAACGGCACCGCTGTACTCGAAATCGGGAGAAAATTGAAGGAGCGTCTTCATATTCAAGCTCGCACTATCATCGGGTATGAAGTGCACAAGGACACCATGGATAAGACTGGCTCGAGTTCGAAATACTCCTACACAGTCTAATATTTTTCTTTATTCATACACATATATTTTTCTTTTGTTAATTTAGTTGATATTTTTATAACAGTAATCATGGAAGTATTTTGAGGTCGGACTTTTGCTAGATGAAAGTCTCGTAACGCATGTAATCTTCAAATAAATACTTTGTTAATTTTTTTTAGTATTCTATTAATCAATTTTTTTTTTTAATTTGGCACTTATCTTCCCTGAAAATAAATAAATTTCCCTATTGTAAATATATTAATTATTTTTTTCCTACTTCTGACAAAAAAACAAACACATTAATTACCAATCTTATCAGCAAAACGTATTGTTTATGAAAAAAGTCACCTTCTAAACCGCTAATTTATTTTTATGGTCCCTTGCATTTTGCAACGCTTTTACTCCTAATTTGAAATCGATTTTTCTCACTTTTACTTATTTGCGGTCACCAGATTGATTTTTGATCAGTTTTAGTTTAAAATATCTACCGTTAAGATGCTTCAACATAAAATAAGCTTGTATTATTTTGTTTTAATTTTAATTAATTTGTGTAAGTAAAGGATTATTTAAATTGTTGTAATTTTTTCAAATAATTGATTTTTTTTAGTTAATTATTATAATGTTTATTGTGAAGAAACTTGTGAAAAATCGGATCGTGGAGAGATGGAGTGTACGGAAATGGAAAATTTGTTTTCCGAAGAGCTCAATGCTGCTTTGAAAGGTAAGTGAAGGTTTATTTTGTCTTAAAATTATGCAGAAAAATTCAATTACAGTAATTATATACAAAAATATTGACATTTTTCTTGGAAAAAGTACATATTAAAAGTGGATTTTCTCCATAAAAATAGCATGTAAAACTTTTCCAAGTAGTATAGTCAATTGAACTTCGTTGACCAGTCAGAAACAACTACTCCGAGGGCAAATACCCCTACCGGCGTTGAACTACACTGATTGGTCTGAGCTTTCGTTGCTTCCTGTATTCACGTTGGTCATTACCTGAAAAAATCTCTCTAACAGTATAGTCAATGGTATAGTAGTTATAGTATAAACTTAACTTTGAGAAACATTTTTCAAAATCAAAAATAAATCTTTTATTTTGCGCTCTTCAATGGAGGCCTGCAGTATTGCTTCACGGATAAATTGAAAAATAAGAAAGAAGAAATTCAAGAAAAATGATAGGCAAGAGAATATTCATGTTTTTTCTATTCCAGGCTCTTGAGTTTTTTTTCCTGTAAATTCAAGAGCCGAGAATAAACAAAAATTGAAAAGGAAAAACTGAGCATTAACTAGAAAAATTGAGAATAATTTATTTCAATTTACATTTTTTCAAAATCACACGCCGCCACTGGTAAAATCGACATGCGACAGTGTTTCCGTTTTATAGGTCTATCTCTCTCGTCTTTATGTGATATGAGTGATTGTAAAGGTTGAACGAATTTTGAGTAAAAGCTGGCAACAGTGTGTAAGTTTAATCTACAAACCCGTCGGCAATACTAATTTGAGTTTAAATTTACCGCCATTCTAGGTTGTTAATGAACTTTGTTTTTCAAAACGAGTGTTTTCCAAGGAGATTTTTTTCGAAAAATATCTCGTACGTCTATGGTTGGCGAGGCTCCGCCCATTTAGACGCCTTTTATAGAGCCAGCTGGGCGGGGTTGATTGCTAATAAATAAGGAGCGGAGTCATACAATCCATAGGCGTACCTTTTTTGGTTAATCATTGTCAAGGAGACAAATGTAAGAAAAAAATGGTAAATAGGAAATTCATGTTTTTTCTTGTCTTGAATTAGAATCAAAAAACGGTATTTCCAATGCTCAAGTGACTCAATCATTGGCTTAAAATAGGAGAGTGAAAAAGGACATAGGAAACACAATGAGTAACACAGAGACATATATAAAATAAAATAAATTAGAAATTTGATTTTTCCCGGCACCTGAGTGGGTTCTTAAATTATGGCTTTATATTTCTAATTTGACAAAAATTTAAAGAAAACTCAAAAGCCTGGAATAAAGAAAAGCTGAAAGAAAGAGATTGATATTTTATCCAAGATTTTCAATTTCCAATGTTTCAAGATCCAAGATTTTTCTTTATAGGAAAGAATAACAATTTGACATTTGACTCGAGTTCTAATTTGACAGAAATGACAGTTGACACTGATTTGGAAAATTAAGAGAAAAAAAACAATACAAATGAAAGCTTGAAATAAAAGAGAGATGAAGATCTGAGAGAGTTAGTTATACACGAGCCCGAAGGGCCGGAGTTATACGCGAGCTCGAATTCTATTGGTCAGCGGATAATTAAGAGCCAATTAAAAACCGGGAGTATTTAAAATGCGATTTTTAGCGTCCGATTCAAAAACTTTAGTTTTATCAAATTGATTTTGGAATGTTGGTTTTCCTAAGATTTTTACTTTTTTCAGAAAACGGTGGTTTTTGCAAACATATACTACTTTATCATTGTCTTTGTCTTACTCACTATAATCAATAAGTAAACCTTATAATGTAATTTTCATCGATTTATTAATTTCATTATTAATTAAAATTAATTATTAAATTGAATTTTAAACAAAAAACTCTTTTAAAATGTTATTTTTGTTTTCCGAGATGAGATGTGGCAACGTTGCTTTTAGTTGGCCATTTTGAAGTGACGTCTTGTGATTTTTTTCCAGTTTTTTCCCGAATTTTCGATTTTCCGGAGTTTTTTAATGGAAAAAAGCGATTTAACATACGAGGCTTTGAGGTTTCTTCATTTTTTAGTAAAAATTTCTAGTTTTAAATCCCATTTAAAATTGCTTTTGATGTGGCAACATCGCTTGTGGCTAAATTCAATCAAAGAAGCATTTTTGACAGTCGGCCATTTTCAATTGACGTGTTTACATTTTTATTCAGTTTTTCTTCGAATTTCCACTTTTACGGGGATTTTTCAGTCCTGAAAACTGATTTAAAGTACGAGGTGAGTTTTCTTCATTTTCCACCAAAAATTTCCAATGTTTTAACGGGGAAGTGAGAAAAACTTTAGTTTTATCAAGTAGGTTTTGGAATGTCATTTTTGTTGTTTTTTTTTTTTGGAATTTTTATTTAAGGTTTTTGGGGTCCGGGGATCGTTTTCTACCACTTTTTTTCTCGAAATTCGCAAAATGAAGAAAAAAACTTTTTTGACGTTGACAGCTGTCAATTTTGTTTTGGCACAAATCGATAGTTGGCGTTGTGAAACTGCCTTGCACCGGGGTTTGATTTTCGTAGCTTTTATAGTAGAGCGGAGAAAAAGTCGAACATGTGTGTCAAATTTGACAGGTGACATTTGTCGATATTGCCAAAGTGTCGTACGACAAAAGTTTAATCCGAACGAACCCGTTTATTGCTAACTGATTTTAATGCTCCGGCCCTTTGGGCCGTAATCTTTGAAACAAAAAGACGTCATTTTGTATCGATTGTCAAAAAAATCCAAGGTTTGAAATTTCAATTTTTTGATGTTTGTTGTATCATGAGCAGTATTGCCATGTTTTTTTTCGAATCTCGATTCTGGAAGGCTGAGGTTATCTCAATTGGTTTCGTGCACGTGACGTCACTAACTTGACACTGGAGGTAAAACAACTTAACCTTATCCCATTTGTTTATATGGAGTTGCGAGTGTCATGCTTTCTTCTTTTGATATTTTTTCGGTGTTTTAGTTATATTTTTGTTCGATTTGCTGTTTAATAGTTTATAAAGACATTTATTTACGTTCATATTGTATATTCGGCGGCATTGTTTTTACAGCCTACAACGACACAATACAAGGGTATTTTGACCCTAGTCTACATATACTATTCTAGGAAGTGAATAATATTTCAATTAGAAACAATTTTTCAAAGGATTAGCTGGGCTAGACGGCGAAATTTTGAAAATACCCTAATTTTTAGGTTATGTTACCTCCAAATACCTCCAATGTGGTCACGTGCCGCACGAAACCTATTATGAGCTCAAAGGGCCGAGGTTATACGAATCCGAAGGGCCGGAAAAATGCGAACCCGAAGGGCCGGAGTTATACGAGCCCGACAGGCCGGAGTTATTTCAATCATGAGCCCGAAGGTCCGAGGTTATACGAGCCCGAAGGGCCGGAGTTATACGAACCCGTTGATTGTTAACTGATTTTAATACTTCGGCCCTTCGGATCGTAATCTTTGAAACAAAAAGACGCCATTTTATATCGACTGTCAAAAAAACCAAGGCCTACCTTGATATTTCAATTTTTTGACGTTTGTTGTTTCATGAGCAGCGTTGCCATATGTTTTTATCAAATCTCGATTTATAGGTCATTTTAAACCCAATCATTGACATTTCTGAAAAATATTTCCTTTAAAGTTCCCAAATATCCTTTGGAATCTCCAAACATCTGTTAAAATCTCAGAATTCCATAATTTAGTGGAATTTCGGTAGAATAATTATGTTATTCTGAAAAAGGAATTACATGAGAAATTTTTGCGGAGTTTCCATAGAATTCACATTAAATTTTAATTCCTCTCGAATTACTTGAAATTCCGATCGAATTACACGAAATCCTAAATGAATTAATGGAGGGATTTTAAACAATTACATGATATTACACCTAAATTCTCAACATGAAATTTTAGTTTTCACTGAATTTTAGTTCTGCCGAGGAATTTCCAGCTAAAAACATGGAATTTCGGTGATATTCCGAAAAATTACGATGAAATTTCAATATATTTCGATGAATTTTTAAGAAATTACTTGAAACTTCATTAATATTCCCAGAAATTCCTGGCTATTAAAAGAAATTCTTATAAAAATAAATTAAATTTTGAAAATTCCTTGGACTTTCGAGAAATATTCGGTTATGTTATGATCGTAAATATTTTCATAAAATTTTAGTGAATTCCGAGAAATTTTCAAGAAATTACATGAAATGTCAATGAAATTCCAGAGAATTTTATGAAAATATTGTGGAATTCCAAGATATTTCAGTGGTAAAATTTTGAGGAATTTTAGTAAAGTTAAAAAAAAAAAATATGGAATTTTGAAATTGAAATCTTAGTGGAATTCCGAGGAATTTTATGAAATCCTATACTGTAATTCCGAAAAAAATTTGTCCAAGAATTCCATAAAATCTTCTAATGAAATGTTAAGGTATTTATTTCTATGGAATTACTTAAAATTTTAATGGAATTCCAAAGAACTTTGATGAAATCTTCGAGAGGTTTTACCCCCAATTAGTTTTCCAGGAAAACTTTGAAAGTGTGAGACTGTATTTTCCAAGAGGCAAAACCACCTTGGAATTCTTTGTTAAAAACTTGGGGAATTTATAGGGAATTTGGAAGATTGTGTTCGATGTTGGACAAATTCCAAGGAATTCTCGTCGAATTACACCTACAATGGAATATCTTGAAATCTTATTGTGGAATTCCAGTGAAATTATATCGAAACCGAAAAATTCCCTCGGAATTAAACAGAATTTTCGTGGAATTTCCATGGAACCACGAAAAATTTCGGCGGAATTCCGAAAACTTGAATTAAATTTTAGTGAAATTCTGAGTATATAATTTCGTCGAAATTTCCATGAAATCTTCTACTGTAATTCCGAGAAATTTTTGTACAAGAATTTCATTGAATTTTATGGTGGAATTCGGAAAAGTATTATGAAATCTTATGATAAAATTTCTAGGACTTTCTGTTTTTCTATTCAAATTTGTCATTTGAATGGAATTTCGAGGATTTCCATAAA